TGTGTGTGTATTTGTATAAACACATCCACACGACCAAGGGGAGGTTTAAAAACTACAAAGAAGGTGTGGGGATAAAAGTGGTTGTGCCCCCACAAGAAAACAAACCTCTTGCGGACATTTTCAGAATAGTGGTGTGGCAGTATTACAGCACATTCCTCTGCCCTTCTAAATATCATCTACCCAACTAAGGCACACATGAACACGAGCACCTATAAATGCACACTATATGACTTTAACCTAGACAGAGGTTTGCCGGGGTTATAAAAGTTAGTGATTTAAAATGTCTGAAAGTAAATGCATTTTGGACGTTGGACCTGCACATGGAAGTAGCCTGTAACTCTAATGCATGCATTGCAATAAACGTCCCAAAATTTCTGGATGGGAACTATTAAAAGACTTAGAAATGGGTGAAGTGGATTTTTGGAAATCTGGGCCATCTTCAAGACCTCGGAGTGTGGTTGCACAGGGTCGAATTTCTATCTTCGCATACTCGTGGAAATTTTCGACTGCCTACCACATACCCGTGAGTACCTTCTCAACTTTCAATTTCGAATGTGGACATAAATAAGCGCAGATCTTCTATAAATTCCAAGCAGCAGTGGCTAGCAACTCATTCTCCATTACCTCAAATAAATTGTGTTGAACTGTAGAAGCCAATTTAAAAGACTATGGTATCCTAGGAAATTGAGACTCTAAACGTAGAAAAGCACTGTGATTCAGAAAAGGAAGTGCTCTGTGTTACTTTGCGTGGAAGTGTACCAAGTGCGATGGAAACCTGAAAATTTCAATCATGCATCAGGAAACCCTTAATCAAGTCCATAACTTGCGTGACAAAAACTATTTGTAAGGTCAAAGAAGGGTCTAGGCCAGTTGAGATTATCCTAATTAGTGTTTTGGACAGACACACCACATCACGTTGCAAAGCCTCGAGTGTCACAGCGACGCAAATAGGACAACGGTGCAAAGGTGAAAATAGATTTGGATGAGAGGCGCCTGATACGAAATGCACACCGCCTTTGTCCGGATAGCAAGTTAGACAAAAAGCCAAAACAAAGCTTATGGATCTGTGGACCCCCGAACTATACCATCTTGACACTGTCTGCTGTGTTTCTGCTGCCACCATTAAGGCCACCCGACGGACTGACTTTATTTGCCATCTCTATAAAAAGCGCTGCTTTGACCGTTGGAAAATTGTAGTCAACAAAAGTAAGAAGTTATTTCTTTGGATTGTTTTGCTTGCAGTACATCCTGCCTCAATTGTGAGCCCTTACGCATTGCAAAGTAAAGATTTTATGCGTCTTCTCTGTACTTTGTGCTTTCCCACTTGATTTTACCTTGCTTTTGTGGTACGCAACACTTCGGTATTCGTGCTGAGAACGCGGACTCGGCTGCAAAAGTATCAAACAATTCATTTTAATTAGTTAGAAACTGTTTTACACTAAATGCACTGCTTACAGAATTAAATGCAGTAGCTTACCTTTATGCCGAATTTTGAGGAGCCGTAGTAAAAGTTTGAGGTTGGCACTGAAGTACACTGAAACCGATTTTAAGCTCAACAATTCGCTTGAATGGTGCTTGCGATCCCGGACCCAACGCATTTACTGCTGGCAAGTACGCATCCTTTCCTTTTGCCAGGTCGACAGAGGCTTTCAAACTCAGCGCACAATCCCAACACCAACTCACACACCGTTCGGCAGAACTCGCATTCACCAATGGGAAGGAAAAATTTTAATATTACATCAGTGTAACATAAATTTCCCCAGCTTTTCGATTTAGTTGTTTCAAAGTTTGTAAACAAAGTTGGTGGCATCTACAAACTATTTCTAAAGGTGGTGGTAAAAGACCTTCACTAATGTGCTAAATTCATGGCAATGTACCTTCATCGCGCAATGCTGTATCATTCATAAGTTTTGTTCTTCGGTCGAATTTGATGGCAAACGTTGACAATTGAGAGTCCTGGCTAAAAAGGCCAGATTTTTCGGCATGCAAGTTTCGTTAACCGAGTTGATGACAAAAATGTTGATTACTGCTAAAGAACTCGTGCTTACCAATCGGATAAACCATAGAACAAAGTGTACGTCTATTTTGAAGTTTAAAGGGCTGCATATTTACGAATAAGTAATTTGGAAACGCACCTCTTATAATGCAACATAGACATTAGTGCTGTTTTACTGTTTCAGTACCTCCTCTTCGTCAGCCTGGAAGTCGACTTTATCAAAAGCTGCCTCTGAGGAAGCACAAAAATGTGAAACCACGTCATTAAGTAGTCAGTCGTGTTTTCCGGCTGTTAGAACTTCATATCAGCCATTTGATACATGCGGTTTGCAGACCACCTGGAGCACGACCAATGACTATCCGTCCCACCCTTCCACCTACCTCGATGATTACAACGTCTACAGGAGTCCAGCGCAAGTCTACACAGATTCCAGTGCATCTTTGGCAATTTATCAACCAGTAGCGGATTTCGCATCACTGCCTGGGTGGAAGTCATCGATCTCTCTACCCTCCCATCCAACATCATCCTTCGAGAACTACTCCGAGGGTTGCCATACCGACGAGTACAACAGCACGTCACCAACAGCATACAACCCTCAGACACAGGTGTTGCCACCACCACCGTCAATACCACTGCCGCTGTCACAACAGCAAGTTCCACAGGTGGTTCTACATTGGAAGGAGTGACTGCGGAACCTCCCCTGTGCCACAGTTCTGTGATACGGTTCTGTTTTTAAAGCTTCTTTCGTTTTGCTAAAGCCCATGCGAAACGGAAACAATGTGCACACTTGAAACAAAATACTGACAATAGTCCTGACATTGAGTTACGTAGCGGTCTTCTCAGACAACGTATTTTACATAGCGCTTGATGGATGCAAGCTGCTTAATATGAATGGTGGGGAAATAAATTTGAATGATTTGCTAAAAACATGTATTTTAGTCTCAAATTTAACGATCTTGGTTCAAACTACTTAGGCCTCCGTAGTTTGACCATCGGCTAACTGCAGCATATGTTTGCCCTATATTACAGCTCTCGAGAGTTTCCAGGTTCATAATGACCCTTTAAATAATAAAAATGGTCGAAGTTCTACTTGCCGAAGTTGTGACTGCGTTTCGCGATGCTAAAATTTTAGTAATAAGTCTGACTAAAATGGGTATCAAATGGCTTTTAAAATGAATAAAGTGCATCAAATGCCTTTTAATAGGCATGCAAATTTTATAAGGTATTAACTTTGCCTTAACAACTAACCCCTCATCAGCACTGCTTATTATTAAATCTTCTACTGATACAAATTAAGTAGAACAATTTGATGACTGCAAATTTTTACAGTTTGCACTCATTTACGTTTCCGAAACCAGGTTCTTTTCAGACTGCGTTTACGTTATGCCCAAAAGTTCTGCAGTATGAAAAGTTCTGGCTGTTTTTAGCTAGCAAAACTTGTCCATGGCAACACTAAAAAGGGTAGAAATAGTTGAAAATTAATGTCTAATTTGTTTTCAAAGTATACAATCCTTTTTTATTGTTAATTGAGAATTATTGCGCAAATTTAAAAGTCGGTGTTAGACCCCACTATATGTGCATCTTATGTTAGTCCTATTATGCACTGGAACGCGAGCTGTGCAATCAAAAGCCAAAATGTCAAAGCATATTCCTGGTGGCGATGAGAACGAATTACTGCTAAATAACCTTTCAGCATCATAAATATGTGGTTTTTGTAGAAAAATAGTTACGCATCCAATAGGTCAAAATTGGGTGAACGGTATGAGTTTAACCATTGGATGAGAATTCTGAGTCTCCTTTCCGTAGGACAGCCGATATGTCAAATTTAGTATCCCAGTAGTGCAAGAACTAGGTGGCTCATGCATGCAGCTCTCCAG